TGATTATTCCTCTTTTAGCTGGAATTTTTAATTGAGCAAAAATAGCTGAGACAGTACTAACACCATGTAACTGGGCACTGCGCTTTCCGTATATTGATCGCTTATGTTCTGAGAATTTATTTGTAAACAGTTGACTATTACCTTCAGTAAATATTGGGTAACTATAATAAAGAAACACATATTAAAGTCAACACGGGCTGGAGTTGTTCTGGGCAGGAATGAGTCCTGTGTATGGACTTAATGATTTGTTTTGGAGATGGAGATTGGAAGACGAGTCAGGAAGAAGCCAAAAGGGAGAGCAGAAATTGCCTCCAGTCTTGGTGGCATGTCGCAGAGGCAGGACTAGCTGTCAGTGCCCCCCACTTGTACACTCTGTAGCTCACAGCAGATAATCTGGGAACTATCCTTCTAAAACAAAGGCATTGTAGCAGGCACAGTCCACATAAATCTGGAAGACATCACAAACCCTCCACTCCTCACCCCAAAATATCATTAAACCTGTTTCTTCTGTAGGAGAACAGAGGAGGAGTCTGGATTTGAGCAGGAAAAGCCAGGGCTACCCACGAGCTTGGTAGGGACTGAACGCTGAACAGGACAGAGTGTGGACCCGAGCAGCACTGTTAGAGAACTATCCATTCCGCCGAGGTAGAAGCAGGATTCAGCCAGGTCTAATGACTATGGCAGAAGGGAGAGTGGAGGTAACGGACATGCTGTAAGATTAAAAAAACAATGATAAAGGGGAACTGAGGTGGGATAGATGTGAGTGGTAGTAAAGGCATCCAACATCGGAAGACCTTTTTTCTTTCCTGTGATGTGAACTCCAGCTACAATCCCCCACTCACTGTGGTTTGATGTACAGCTTTTTCATTTTATGGTAGTGCAAAAGCAATCCTGGTTCAACAGAGATAGCACTTTGAGTTTTGATCTCTGCTGGACTTTGATCTTTTCTGAGCCAGGGCTTGGGAGCAAGACCCTCTCTGAGGTTGCAGGGCAGTGCCAGTGCTGGATCCCCTGATGCTACCAGGCAGATCCTCTGCAGTGTCAAGTGGCGTCCCCAGGATGCCCAGCGGTTACAAGTGTTAGATGATATGTGGTTTGAGCAAGCAGTGTAATGAAGCCTTAAACATTGGAGGCCAAAAGGATGGTACTCAGAGCCCAATCACCCTTTAGTCAAAAAGGACAAACAGAACAAGGGCGTCAAAGATAACATCTGTGTTTCTTGGGAAAAGCTGATTGGGATTGATGGGTAAATGACACAATGCAGTTAGAAACAGCAGCTGTGGGTCAAGTGACCCCCACCAATCTGAGGGAAAGAGTGTGTGGGCCAAACTTTCATCCCTACCTAAGCTCTTCTTGGAGCTAACATTCAGGGAATCTACAAATATCCAGGCCTGTGAAAATAAACTAGCTGCAGATGAAGTTGCTTTACAAGTGATTAAGATGAAAAATTTGGGAACAGAGCAATTTTGTTAAGAAATCTGTTTTCCTTGAGTTGAGCTATGTCTAGCTTATGCAAATTATGGCCAGAGACTAAAATATGAATCTGGTGAGCCTTGTCGGGATAGAGGCGACTGACCAGGGCTCTAGGCTGTGACAGCCTCTCCCCACTTCCCTCGTGGAACCAAGTCACCTTGCATGGCTGCAAAATGAAGTGAGTTCTCATAAAAACCCCACGTCTTCATCCTGTCCCGGATATTCTTTCTAAACCTTTAGTAACTGATTTCCCACATGAAGAATTATCTGGAGTCGAGCAGACCCTTCAGTTTAACTACATGTAGTTTTCTTCCACCTTCATTTTAAAAATGATTTTTGTTTGAAAGGCAGATTTACAGAGAAAAGGAGGGAGGGGGAATGGAGAGAGCAGGTCTGTGTGCTGGCTCACTCTCCCCACGGTCACAACGGCCTGAGCTCTAATCACTGTGATGTGCATATTGCGATTCAATTTTCATGTAGCATATTTAAGCTTTTAGTCTTTAATAACTTTGTTCTGTCTTGTTACTCACAGAGAATTGTTGAAGTGATACGCATACAGTATTCAGAGTGATGGCTTTTTATAATCATGTTTTAGATGATTTTCCTTCCTTTTCTAAAACTGTGACACGTTAATTTCAGCAAGACCTACTGTTTTCTTTGACAAAAGATCCTTTTGCTTATGGAAAAAAAGAACTGTGGTGACAAAGTGTATCTATAAAAAATACTCAGCATTTCCTACCAGTGAAATATATTTCTGTCTTCAAGTACCCCAACCCTGTTTGCGAGAATTTTATCTGTTTTTTTTTTAATGATTTAGAAACTAAGTCTCTCTGTGTGTGCATGTGTGTATAAAACAGGAACAGTTATCTTATTTTTCTGAATTTAGAATTGAGTGTGTGCATTTACTAATAATTGGCAAGTAGTCTCCTTGCTTTCCCTCTGTCAAGTCATAAACTTAGCTGCATCTGAGGTCATGCATTTCTTCCCTGCCAACTCTTCTTCCTGAGCCTCCACGGTCAGAGACAAGGTGGTGTGTGGCTCCCAGCCCTAGCGATAGCCGCAGTAAGCAGGTGGCACTCTGAATTCCAGTGTCCAAGGAAAGAAGCCTGGTTGTCACCAGGCAGTGGGGTATATTTGAAGAACCTTGCTATTGGGAAGCCCTGATGTAATGGCATAGGTCGCTGGCACATGCACCTGCCTTCAGGTCCTGAGACACATAGCATCATTATCCTTGGCACTGTCCAACAAATTGGTTCCAGGGAGAGAAACCTCTTTACTTTCTGGAAAATAAGCAGAAGAGTTCCAGCATGAGACAACATCTATTTATGCAATTTTGCCTGCTCTGCAGACATTCTTGTAAACACAGTCAGCTGCAAGTTAGCCGGTGATGTGGTGGAGATGTGTTCATGAGAGATGCGTGTGAATTGGTCTCCCTGAAATATCGAAAAGATAGAATCCTATTGTGTAATGGACCTTGACATCTATTTTATAGTATTAGCACATCACTGGTGGCTATGTTATTAAACAAAGATCTTGGGCCCGGCGCGGTGGCGCAAGTGGTTAAAGGTCCTCGCCTTGCAAGCCCGGGATCCCATATGGGCGCCGGCTCTAATCCCAGCAGCCCCGCTTCCCTTCCAGCTCCCTGCCTATGGCCTGGGAAAGCAGTCGAGGACGGCCCAAAGCTTTGGGACCCTGCAACCGCGCGGGAGACCCGGAAGAGGCTCCTGGCTTCAGATCGGCATAGTATCGGCCGTTGCACTCACTTGGGGAGTGAATCATCGGGCGGAAGATCTTCCTCTCTGTCTCTCCTCTCTGTATATCCGCCTTTCCAATAAAAAAATAATAAAAATAAATCTTTAAACTTTAAAAAAAAGATCTTTTATTTTATTGGAAAGGCAGATTGACAGACTAGGAGAGACAGAAAGATCTCCCATCTGTTGGTTCTCTCTCCAAATGGCCACAATGGCCAAAGCTGAGCTGATCCAAAGCTAGGAGCCAGGAGCTTCTTCAGGGTCTCGTACATGAATGCAGGGTTCCAAGGACTTGGGTCTTTCTTCACTGCTTTCCCAGGACCCAAGCAGGGAGCTGGATGGGAAGTGGATCAGCTGGGACAGAAATGCCCATATAAGATGCCCATATAAGATGCCAGTGCTTGAAGGTAGAGGATTAGCATTGAGCCACCATGCCACGTGGGGCCAACTTTATCTGTTAAAACGGTGTTCTCTTTGAACTTTGTATTCATTAAGAATTTTAAGCTGAATTAAATTTTTTGTTGCATTGACTAATTTCTGTAACAAAGACTTTAAAACATTTCTTTACTCATGCTCTGAAGTTTTGCCAAAGTCATATGAAACTAGGCTATTGGGAGTATCATGTTGTGGGAGATACAGAGGCTGATGTTTTAATTAGGAACAACACTGTGTTCTAGAACTATCCATTATATGCTCAGGGTGATGTCTGTGAGAACCAGTGCATTGAGTGTTCCTGTGGAGTTATGACAGCAGATCCCTTGTCTAGTAGTGCACAGATCGTTATGGGAGGGAAAACTCAAAGGAAGGTCATTGGAATAAGCTGTGTGGGATGATCATGTTACAGGGAAGCTTTTGTATAACACCCATCCTATTCCTTCTTGAGTCTGAGCTGCCCTCTGACGCCAAGCTCTGTGGCACAGGCCCCTTGCATATCCTCTCGCTTGTCCTGCCCAGCTTGAGCCCCCTTGCTCACCTGTGGGTTGTGATGGTCTCTCTCTGCTCTCCATGACTGTGGGCCTGGTGTCCCCTGATTGGACCTGTGACAGTGAGTGAGCAGCTGCAGTGCCCTGGGCATTGCTGCTCCGACCCAAGCTGCCTTTGTTTGTTAGTTTCAGTCCTTTAGCACCCCTGTGAGAAATTGCTAGCATAGGATGAACCAGACCACCTGCCAGCTCCTGAATATGTTCTGTGTCTTCTTTGCATTTTCTTACCTGAAGCCATTTCCTATATCCTTGTTGATAAAATGATATTAGTTATTTGTGGCCTAGGGGAAATGTCTTTTCCATGATAGCCCGATCACATCATCTTGAGTCAGTTTGTTATTATGTATGTCCCCAGGTGTATCTGCCTCACTTCTGTAGGACTCTGTGCTTCTTAGTGATGCCATAGCACCCTCATCCTCTGCCTGTAGCACCAGCATCACAAATGGGTGTTAGTTTGTGTCCCAGCTTTTTAATTTCTGATCCAGTTCCCTGCTTATGGCCAGAGATAGAATCAGAGGATGGCTCAAATCCTTCGGACCATGAGCCCACATGGGAGACCCTTCAGAAGCTCCTGGCTCTTGGCTTCGAATCAGCTCAGCTCTGGGTGTTGTGGTTATCTGGGGAGTGAACCAGCAGATGGGATCTCTGGCTCTGTATCTGTGTTTCTAAATCTGCCTTTCACATAAAAATAACATATCTAAGAAAAATGAAAGCTGTTTGTTTTTATTTGTTTCTATTGGGTCTTTAATGGATGTAAGCATTTTTTTTTAAACTGCAAATGTTTTCCTTCTAGAATGTGAAAATCATGTCTGGTGCTATGAGTCATGGAAACCAAGATATTCAACAGTTCATTTTCGCACAATGCTACAATTATGTTTGTTTGAATGTAAGTAGTAAACACAAATGATTAACAGTGTGTCATGGTTGGTACAAATGCACTGTGGAAGGGAGAGTATTGTTTTTCTTGATTCTTACAAATTGGAATGTGATATTGTAATACATGTGTTACTCAATATGTACTTTATATTTTATCTTTTTGAAATAAGGAAATGACGTTTTCTCGCCAGCGTTTTGTTTCTCTAGATAAGACATTTAATATTCTGCCTTTTCAAAAATCTGTATTGATTTGAAAGTGTTGCAGAGACTGAGGGAGAGCTACAGGGAAGGGGATGTTCCCACTGCTAGCTCTGTCCCCAGATGGCTGGAAGGCCAGGCCTAGGCCAGCACACAGACAGGAAGTCCATCAGGGTCGCCCATGTGGGAAAGAAGCCCACGTGTTGTGCCATCACCCGCTGCTTTTCCCAGGCTGTTGGCAGGGAGCTGATTTGGAAGTGGAGCACCTAGAACATGATCTGGTTCCTGTATGGGCTGCCAGCACTGTAGGTGGACGGTTATATCGACCACACCACAACTCTGGCCCTTTAATATTCTGTTTTGTTTTTTAGTGTAAAGTAGATAATAAAACATAAATCAAAATTAATATTTTATATGCATAGGTATATATAAATGCATATGTACATATTCTATGGTTATCCTTTAGAATTGTTTCAGTTTTAAAACTCCAGCTTGGTAAATATTTTGAATGCTATATAAAACCTCCTCCGCTTTTTCCATGTGATCTAGGTTTTAAGTCGTTTTAGAACATTCTTCCACTTCTTACTTTTCTCCTCCTCCCAGAGTAGAAACGCTGATTTTCATGAGACCCAGCAGTTACTGAAGATGCTGCAGGACAGTAACCTTTCCATTTTATATCCTGTTGTTGTTGTGTCGGTAAGTGAATATTAATTCACATTTTTTCTCTCTCATGAGACTGTATATGGTCCTTTCATGCCATTTGTTTCTATTTAACAAAACTTCCTCCAGTTGGGAGCGTTTGCCTACACCCAGAAGTGGGGACTCTTTGTGGACCCCAGAACCCGGCCTCCCATGTGCTTGCCCTGCCTTTACCACTGCCTTTGTTTGCTGGGTCTCACAGGCTTGGATAGCCAATCCAGCCTAACAGTCAGTTTTATTACTTTTCCTTGGTTAAAATATCTCATTTGACTCAGTTTAGATGCTATGTAAGAGCCTTATGTAGTATAATTGAAATGCTACTAGAGAATAAATCCAGAAGGTAAAGAATTTGGGAAGGAAAAGTATAATGGAAGAAAAATTTAGGCTTGGGTTCTTCATCTTCTCGCTTCCACGGAAAGCAAAAAATAGGATGAACAGCAGATTCAAGGGGCTTCCCAGGGTGACCTGTGGGTCTCCCTAGAGGAGACTAAATGTATGTATGTTTGGCATAGAATTTGCTAGACCGCCCTATTAAATTGTTGCAAAGGAGCAGATTAGAGAGTAAAGCCAGGATCAATACAGTGAGACACTATGCTATGGGAAGAGTTTTTCTTTTAAGTTATTCATTTATTTTATTTATTGGAAAAGTAGAGAGACTAAAGCACAATAAGGCAAAAACAAAACAAAAATAGGGAAAGCAGCAACAGAGGGATCTTAGTTTGTTCTTCTGTTGTCCCTAACAGCCCATGGCTGGGCCAAGCCAAAGCCAGTAGGGTGGAACTCAGTCCAGGTCTGTCACCTTAGTGGCAATGACTGAGCCACTTGCACCATTACCTGCTTCCTGGTAGGGTGCTGGAATTGGGAGCAGGAGGAGGTCCTGAATCCAGGCCCTCTGTTGTCAGGTGTAGGGACTCCAAGCAGCATCGTAACTGCGGCGACAAATGCTTACCTGGAATGGCTTGCACAGGCTAAAGGTCTAAAGTGCTTAGCAGTGCCAGCTTCCTGGAGCTCAGGCCCATCCTGCAGTGTGCACACGTAATTCCTGTTAGAGAAGAGGTAAGTGATACAGAGTAAATGTCATAATTGGTTGTGAGTGTAAGTAACTGGATTATGCAATACAAGTGGAAACACATTTGCAGCCTGAGGGGAGGGGAGTTTAGTTACTTCTCTGGCCTGTCCTATTTGGTTAGATGCCTGAAGATAGATACTCTGCAAGCCTGCAGTGACCTTTTAGGAGTGTGATGGGAAGTGCCTGTTGCAGGAAGGCTCAGTAAAGGTCAGTTTAGAGTGCTGTGTTTGGCCCTTTTGTTCTACCCTCCACATTGACCTGCTCAGGAATCTCATTCACTCCATATCCCCAAGTATTAGGCTATTATGCTGCAAAGGGTGTAGTAAGAACACAAGGCCTTTGAATTCCAAAAACACAGGCTCCTTGATCAAATTCTGTAGCCTTTTGTGAGGTTTGGTTTTCTCTGGATAGAAATGAAGCTGATCAGCATACTTGGTGCTACAAGGGATGAGTGCGGAATGTAGTTGTTTATTGCAGGGCGCAGGTCCTTGGCGGGCATGTGCTGTTACTAGTTGCCATCCTGCTCTTGTGAATGAGGTGACCCATGGTTTTCCTCTGGTCTAACCTGGTGCCTGCCTACAGCTCTGTTTTCTAACATTTTTTTCAGGTGCTTGCAGTGGAGCACTTGACTTCTCAAATCCCTGATATCTAAGTTATCACAAATGCACCTGACCTGTAGATTGGCTTCTTTCCTTAATGTCAGTGCCAGGTTCAGGCAATGTAGACTCGTAGGTTGGCCCCTGTCATTTTTGAGTGTTTCTCTCCTTTTCTCTCTCTGCCACATTTATACCTATCACACATGCACCCACACGTGCACACTGTTGGTTATGAAGCTACTGTTTCTTCTGTTCCTTGCTTCTCTTGCATCTCAACCGCAGCCTTGCCATTGCTCCCACCAGTGTTGGAATTCAAGTGTTGGTTGACTTCTTTTGGATTCTATCTTATGTGTCCCAGAAAGTGCCAAAATTCCTTGGTTTCCCGGTGCTCTGCACCAAAATAAAAGATGGACAGTCTTCCTATGAGAAGAAAATGTCTTGCCGATCTTGTCTGGGAATAGTAAAGTCTAATACTATAAAATGCTGCAAAGTTTTTATTTAACATTGGGGAGTTGTTACCCCATAGCCAATATCCACATGCTATTTGCATACCCATTGCATATACAGACTGGGTGCAGTGATATTGTGGGTGTTCTTGTGCTCAGCAGGAAGTGTGTCATTAGGATATATTTTGAAGTTGTGTGCTCTGTCTGGAGCGAAGCCTCCCTTGAAGGGGTGGAGTAGAGACTGTCGCTTTCTTGGACAAGAGTGCAGTGTGAAGTCTCTGCATATTTGAATTGTCCTGTGAGTGATTCTGAATATAGTAACTCAGACTTTCTCCTTTCCCTTCTTCAAAAACCCTTTCACCAAAAATGGTCAAAAGACCATTCACTTTCCCTAGGAATGGAAATTTGCCAGAACCATTTCAATTTTTCCATAGAAACATATGTATGAAAATATTATGATAAATGGCCAAACACTTAGCCACCTTAAGTTTGCACAACAATAAAGGGAAAATATTAGTATGTGCATGTAGTGTGTAGGTGTGTGAATACATCTGTAGGTGCATGTATATATAGAAGTATGCAGTTGGAAATACGGACATTTCGGCAGCTCAAGGGCGAGAGTGTTCATGTTGCATCTGTCTGAATTACTTTTCCCAGAAGGATGAACCGAGAGAAAGAGGCACATCCTGCAGAGGTGAGGTGCTTGCTGGCTTCAGAACACTTCAAATTCCTTAGCACTCTAACTGCTGAGAAGATTGTTCAAAGCAGAGCCATGCCATTCCTTTGTTTCCTTAAACAGCTGGCTTTTTTTTTTTTAGCAGAAAATATCTGGCAAAATGAAGAGTTCAGTGTTGAGGATGTGTGTTGTAAATGTTTAAAGGCCTGCTTTGTTTTGGCCTGAGGTGCTGGATCATGTTCCTTTTCCCCAGGCAGTGGTTAATAACTTTGAGTCACTCTAAAGAGACAAGGATTTCACAGGTCCTACCATTGAAGACTGGTCCTCCTGAAACTTATGGAGCAGGTGGTTCTTCCTACTGGCATCGTCTTAGTGGGAGGAAACTCAGTCCAGTTATCCTGTGTGGGGGTATGGCCTTGGGGAAGTCACTAGGATGGGTGAACCCGTTTGGGGGCCGGTTTCATGATTCAGGACACTAGAGGATAGGGTAGAGTGTGGCAGGCACAATATTAGGCTCCTCCTGTATTTCCATGTGCTCGCTTACATCATCTTGGGACTCTGGCAGTATAAATGCCATTAACAGAGGCTGAACCGGTGGAGCTCACCCAAGCCTCCATAACTGATATCCAAAGTGAGCCTCTTTTCTCTGTCAAGTTAAATTGCTTCAAGAATTTTGTTTTAGTAACCGACAGCCATATAATATGATAGGAACCTCTCAAATGCAAAGTAAAAATATGTTCATTAGACATTTGTGAAGTTTTCAGGTGCCCAATTGTGCAGTTTAAGGTCATTGTTTGCAGTAGCATCACATTTTGTTCTGCAGAAGATACTTAGAGGTGAGGCCGAGGAGCGATTTAGCTGATGCAATTGACAGGGAAGCATTTGTGTTGATATTAAGTAGAAAAGTTGGTCTTGAGTTGTGTCTAGTATTGACCAACCCTGAACTGTCTTTTCTAAAGTGGATATAGCAAAGTTCCTTGGTTTCTGACACCCAGTAGTTGTGTGAAAGGGACGTGTGACTGTCAGCTTCATCTAGCCTGGATCTGCCAGAGGAAGCAAAGGCCTGAGTGGCTGAGCAGGCGATGATTCTGTGTTCTTGGCACATAAGTAGTTAGCACCATCATAATTTACTGTGGATTCTGTACAATTAACCACTCCTTGGCTTTTAAGAAAAACGATTTGTGTTAGGACATATGTAACACAGAATATTTTGTTATCTAAGTAGACTGGCAAAGGTAAGAGGCTATGATGTTAAGATCCACTTAGAGACAGAAACAAATTTCACTATGAAGGGCAACTAAGAAAAAAGGAAAGAAAAACTGAAACTTCCTCTTGGAAAGAAATAAGTTAATTATTGAAATATTTGCTTCATACTTACAATGTTTATGTTCTGTTTTCAAGATTAAAATATTTTAACTGAACTTATGACTGTTATAAAGTATGGAATACAAAATATTATTTATTTACTCTTCTATCTGATCATCATTCTTATTTTCTACTTTGTGTTTCAAAATGTTCAAGTTTTATATCCGTAGCATTTACTGTGATTTAAGGAATCTACTGTTTGAATCAACAAAATCCTTGTGAATGGCTAAATTTTATGTCAGTGTAGTTATATTCTCGGGCTGGACTAGACGCCAGCATGAAACACAGCAGAGTCTCTCGTCTTTTTAAAATCAGTTGGTTTTTTATAAGTATTCTGTTACTCACTATGCGTTCCTTAGGGTGGCACTCAGCCTTTGAGCTGAGAACTTTTGAAAGCGTATCTGCGGATGACAAGTGCGCTTTCCATCTGGAGAATACACTGTGCTTGAAAGAGTATGTTCTGTTTTATTAGAGACTAGTCCACACAAAAGGAGCTGAACATTCAGAGCCTTCACCATGGGAAGTGCAAGCAAAGCCTTTTGCATGTCACGGACAAATGTCATTTCCAGTCTGGTTACTGGTACTGCTTTGTGTGTACTGGGACTTGCTGGGCAGCCTGGCTGGAGCTGTGGCCGCCTTCTCCTTGAGGCGACAGTGACATCTATTGCTGCCACCCGCCTTTCCACAAGACCCACTGCCTTCACAGTATCTGAAGGCTCGGTTCAGAAGGCTGTCAATATGGAACAAGTTCAGTTCTCCTTTCTTAGCGTGTGCTTCTGTCCACCAGTTTAATGAGCAAATATTTAGAAAAGTCATGTGTACTGGATGTTAAGATGCTAAATGAT